CTGTTTCATCCAAAGCAATTGCGTGCAATAATTTCTAGCAACAATGTATTCAGTCTCGCAAGATGATAAAGATATGCAATTTTGCTTTTTGCTGTACCATGAAACAAGATTAGTACCAACACAGAAACAACCACCTGAAGTACTCTTTCTATCATCCTTGTTTCTAGCCCAATCAGCATCAGTATAGCTTGCAATCTCGGAGTTAGACTTAGAAGAATAACGCAATCCATAATTTAATGTAGTAGTCACATAACGAATAATACGCTTGACTGCAAGGATGTGTTGTTCTCTAGGATCAGCTTGATACCTAGCACAAACACCTACACTAAATGATATATCTGGCTTAGTTGTTGCCAAATACAACAAGCTACCAATCATACTCCTATACAAGAAATGATCAACCTTGTTAGGATCAGAGTCTCTATCCAATTTGGATGAAGTACTCATAGGAGTTTGAATATGCTTTGAATCTTTCATACCAAACTTTTTAACTTGCTCTTTTGCATATTTTGATTAATATATGAAAATCCCATCATCAAGTTGTTTCACTTGGAGACCTAGAAAGAAAGTTAGTTCACTAACCATGCTTATTTCAAAAGTATTACTCATATCTTTAGAAAAATTATAAACAATATTATCACAAGTAGCACCAAAAACAATATCATCCACATATATTTGAGCAACAAGAAAATCTTTTCCTTTCCTGAAAATAAACATCGTTTTATCCGCTCCTCCTCTTCTGAAGCCCTTGTGCAATAGATAAGAAGTCAACTTCTCATACCATGCTCTAGGTGCTTGCTTTAAACCATAAAGAGCCTTTTTAAGATGAAAAACAAAATCAGGATTATGTGGATCAATAAAACCTTTTGGTTATGCTACATAAACTTCTTCCTGCAAAATACTATTAAGAAAAGCACTTTTAACATCCATTTGAAATAATTTGAATTTAAAGTGGCATGCAAGGGCAAAAAGAAGTCGAATAGACTCAAGTCTAGCAACAGGTGCGAAAGTCTCTTCAAAATCAATTCCTTCAACTTGAGTGTATCCTTGTGCAACTAACCTAGCTTTATTCATCAAGTTTATTTTTAAAGATCCATTTGGTCCCTATGATATTAACATCACTAGGTTGAGGCACTAATTCCCAAACATCATTCTTCACAAATTGAAGCAATTCTTCTTGCATAGCCATAAGCCAATCAGAATTTTGAAGAGCTTCATCAACATTCTTAGGTTCAAACTGAGCCATGTGACATGAGTGAACTATATCATCTACAATGCATGAGTGTCCTACATTATCACGGACTGTACTCCTAGTACCATGCTTATTCCAAGGACCTATCACATTATCAATTGGATGACTCAATCTAACTCTAGAACTGCTACATGTGGGAATATCTAGAGACGGTGCAGGAACTCCTATAGGTTCATCAGTGGTAACCTCTAATTCCTCATCTTTATATTCTTCAACCTCTTCACCTTCTCCACCTTCTCCACCTAAATCCTCAACTCTTTCTTCTTCTTGAATAGCAGGTACTTTCTTTTCTCCTGCAATTTCAAAATTAGTTTCTTCTTCATCAAGTTGAGAAGAGGTTGTATTAGATTTTGTATCATCAAATACAACATTTATAGACTTCATGACCACTTTGGTTCTAAGATTAAAAACCCTATAAGCCCGACTAGTTTGTGAATAACCCAAAAACACACCTTCATTATTTCTAGAGTCAAATTTTTCCAAGTGTTCCCTATCTCTAAGGATAAAACATTTACTTCCAAAGACTCTAAAGTATTTAACAATGGGCTTTCTATTATACCACAATTCATATGAAGTCTTGTTAGTTCCAGGCCTAAGATAAACTCTATTTAGGATATGACAAGCAGTACGTACCGATTCAGCCCAAAAGTGACTAGCAATCTTATTCTTCTGAAGCATAGTACGAGCCATACCTGCGATTGTCCTATTTTTTTTTTTTTTTTTTTTATTTTTCCACTACACCATTCTGTTGTGGTGTTTTAGGTGCTAAAAATTCATACTTAATGCCATTCTTATCACAATATTCAATAAACTTTTTAGGTTCGAATTCACCTCTATTGTCGCTTCTAATCCGATTAATTCGATATCCCTTCTCATTTTGAATAAGTTAGCAAATAGACCTGAAATTCACAAAAGTATCAGATTTTTCTCTCAAATATGCAACAGAAGTAAACGTAGAAAAATCATCAACCATAACAAGCAAATATCTTTTTCCTCCAATGCTATCAGGTGTTATGCAACCCATCAAATCCATATGAATCAACTCTAAAGGTCGAGAAGTGACTTTATGAATAACTCTCTTATGTGATACTCTAGTTTGTTTTCCTAACTAACATGGACCACATATTTTATTCTTAGGCATCTTCAATTTAGGCAAACCTCGAATAAGATCATTGTTAGACAAATTCACTAAATCATTATAATTCACATGTCCAAGTCTTTTATGCCATAAAACAACCTTATCAGTAACTGCAGGAAAACACATAAGTGAAGGATATGAAAACACAACATAACAATTATCAGAAGTTCTAGTTTCTTTCAAGATGCATTCACCTTTTTCATTAGTTACAAAACACCCTTGTTGAGTAAAATTGACTTGAAACTCCTCATCACATATTTGACTAATACTCAACAGATTAGCAGCTAAACCTTTAACATATAGAACATTTTTTAACTCTCCAATTCCTGAAAATTTGATCTTACCTTTACCACTTACAGTAGAAGCCTTACCATCACCAAAAGTAATAGTACTAATTGAGCATTCCTTAAACGTGGTAAATAATGTTCTATCCCCTGTCATATTCCTAGAGCAACCACTACCAAAGTACCAACCACATGGACCAAGTGCTCTAAGTGCAGTGTGCATGGCAAGATATTTAAAATTCTCTTTCTTTACCCAAACAATTTTAAATTCATTATGCAATGATTTCCTTATTGTTCTAGGCAAAGTGTCATAAGGCTCAACAATCTTAATCATCTTCTTCCTCAATTTTGAACTCTCTAGATTTTTCAAATTCTTTCCTAGTTCAATTTTTCTTTTCTGACACTTATACTTGATATGCCCTTTTTCACCACAAAAATGACATGTTGAAATAAGTTTAGGAGAATTAAAAATAACACAAGGCTTGGTTTCAACATTCACAAAATTATCTTTTGATTTTTTAAAATACAGATCATTTGAAGTTGATGCCAAATCTTTGTTACTCATAACATTCCCAACCACACCTTTCAACTTATCTATTTTGCAAGTGTTAATATCAATTTTCTGAAATGACTGTTTTGATTTAACAAATTCACTACTCAAATTATCAATTTTAAGTTCCAGTGATTTATTAAACAAATTTACCTTCTTAAGTTCCTTTTCTAGAAAATCAATCTTATGAAGAAGATTCAAATTCTTAAGGCCAATTTCTTCCAAATTCTTATTAGAGACAGAAACTTCTAACTTATAAATATCTCTATCAAGTTCAGCAAGATTTAATTTCTCTAACAAATTTTCAAAATCCTTTTCAAATTTTGACCATTCACTTTGCATGCTTGTGACAGAATAAAAAACAGGAGATAAAGGCAACACATCAACAGATGAATTTTCAGACATGATGTAAAAATCAACAATTAATCAACAAATATGATCAACTCAGTATATCGAGTTACCCGCTCTGATACCAAATTGTAAAACAAGAGTTACGCGGGGTGCGGAAACAGTTGATTTTAATTGTGATTAACTCCTTTAATGACCTAGATCTGATTATTAGGTCAACTTGCTTAATTTATAATTAATTAAATTGCATGAGCAATTAAATATCCACAATCATAAATATAAATACTGAAAAGTAAAGCAAGTTAGGTTTAGAGAGATTGCACCGGGATTTTTAGCGAGGAAACCCCAGTTGATAAAATACGTCAACTGTTATGGGAAAAACCTCATGGACTATGCAGTTCAAAGTAAATCAATCCACTACGTTTGAAACAAAGTATATCGAACTTTGACTCTGACTTACACCCTATCGTTCTACACCACACCAACCGCTGACGATCCTTTGGCTTTGCGACTCCCCATCCAACAGCAACTTGATCTCAGGCTTACACTTGATATTTGTAGAAGAGTAGCAGGTAGATCAAACAGCACTCCACGAATGCTCCAACCCTTTCAAAGTGTGATAACGCTTACTTCTGTTCTTCAAGATCTGAACTCGATTATAGAAGAATTAAATCCTGCTTCTCATTTGGAATATCTGAATCTTCAGTATAGATCCAATTCCGATGAGATAGAGAACAACACGACTAAATCACTCATGAATATATGTGTATGCTCTCATAAATAAATTCAGAATAATCATATTTGATTTTCTGAATTTTTTCTCTCTAGAAGGCTTTCTCAAAATATAGAATTGATTTTCCCTCAAGCCATCATAAACCAATGTATATGACAAGGTTTATATAGAGTTTTGAAAGTCCTAATCCCTCAGAAAATATGATAAATTTCGTGCATAGGATATAGAAGGAAGCTGGGATCAAAAAGGAAACATCAGAAGAAGGAAACTGGAAACCTGATGCATCTAGGACTTCTTGAACCGATTCAGCCATCTTGAACCGGTTCAAGATGGACAGTAAGGAATCCCACGGATTCTTGAACCGGTTCATCCCTCTTGAACCGGTTCACGATGGTCAGTCTTGAAATTTTAGCATTCTGATGTAGTTGAACCTGTTCGATAGATCTTGAACTAGTTCAAGATGGACAGAATGTAAAATTTTGTTCCGAACCTTTCAAAACCCTTCCTAAATGTTCTCACTACCTCTCAAAACTTTTTATAGCGTTGTTCTCATCATCTTGGAGTGTAGTATACCATGAACACTTGACCTTCTTCAAATCCGCATCAGATATTTAATCTTTGAAATTTTGTACTGAAAAATTACAACTCGATCGGATTTGTTTTGACATCGAAATTAGCCAATTACAAAATATATCTCACAGCTTAGATATCGAGAACTGCCATCCTAAGCCAAAGTGCGCATTTAGCAACGAAACCAGAGTAATAAGTTCTCCACCCTTGCTGAGCGGCTGAGAATGACTACGCCCTGTGCAATGAATTGCTCCAAAGCGCAACATTTCCACCCACACTTTGCCCACCATTTCCCACCTTTTTGGCTTATCATTTATTTGAGAAGACTCAATGCGAGATCTCTTGCATCCTTTAACACTGTTTCCCGAATAAAGTGTGTATATGATTTTTCAAACGAGGAAGTTTTAAGTATACAGTCACAAACAAATTTCTTTTTTTCCTCCATCGTCTTGAATTTCGTAGGGTTAGCATCTAACTCCAGCTGCATGAGATGCTCGACATGCTCAAACATAATGTGGAATCTCTTTTGCGCATCAATCGCTACTGCAGACTTCATTAATGCAGGCCGCATGACCAAAAGGTACAACATATAATCTGATAGCGTCTTACTATATTGACGATTCAGATCTTCGTAATCAGATTCAGGGTCGGTGAAATAGCACATTTCAGTAGCTACATGCCACATCAAAAGGCTCTTATTGTAGTCAACTTGCTTGCTCACACTCCATTCGATAATTGAGGGTTGACGGAAAAGGTGGCCAGAGTATTGGGAAGGTGGCCAGAGTATTGGGAAAGAATCCAATTGCCCTTGGCCGAATATATACCATTTAAAGCATCTGAATCTGAAGCATCCAACTTCGCAGCAGAAGCTGCCATAGTCATATCTTTCATCCTCGCGAAAATGAAGTCCTTGAGGTTATCCTTGACGGGTTTGCTTCTTGTGTACCATATTTCATCGCCATGAGTGCCGTTCAGCAAAGCTGTAACTTATCAAACTAAACTGTGAGAGAGATCGACGCCATCTTTTGTCGAATATTGGAATTAGTCTCATGCGGATGGCATAGACAATGGTTTTAACCACACCATTCTCGACTCTAACTAAAGTCCAGTCAGACAAGATGAGCATGAGACGTGATACTAATTCCATGCCAACGGCACCAATAAGCAAAGTATAGGTAATAGCAATGTCAATTCCTCCATGGATTAATATGTGTGTGTTGTGATGGGAAGCAAATTGCTGGAAGGAAATCACTGTCAGGATGTAACATATGAAGCGGAATATGTACCCCATCTTACTATGCACCACAGCCATCTTGGTGTAGAGTGTAGCCCAAAATGTTGCCAAGTCTTGATTTACCATAGGCTTGTTGGAGTTGTCTCCTTGGACACTGGCAATGAGTCCAATGGCAAAGGCCGCAACCCAATCAGCAAGCAAATAAGACGACCACATCATAGTGGTTATCATTTTGTGTTTGAATCTTTTCCGTGACGGTGCAAACAAAGTCATCAATACTTGCAAGAAGAGACTGAAAAGAATAGCACCACGAAGATTCCATTCATCCCATAGGCTTTGCACCTTGTCTGGAACATGGAAACCCATTGTACCTTTTTGTTTTCTTCCTTCAATGCTCCTCTACAGTTGCTTCTGATTAGTTTGAGAAGAGCAAATTAATTTATATGAACCACCATCATACTAATTAATACAATTTCTAATTTGTGTATGCACGAGAAGGAAAATCTTGATTTGAGATGGAAAGAAAAATAATATTGATGTTACTTGAATGTAATCTAGATTGAATCAGCAAAACACTTCACAAAAAGGCTGCTTATTTAGTCTATTTGGATTTTTATTTTTTTGATTGATGCTGCATAAAGCAATGAATCAGTGCAAATGAAAACCATCTTTAGAAATACAGGCAACACTCAAGTTGATCAAGCAAGTTGGCTAGACAGGATAAGCTTGTGACTCTGATTACATTACTACTTGTGTAATTATAGGCAAATATTTTTTCAATCCAAAGAATAATAAAGATATGTGAACAGATCGATTGTGAACAGAACTTAGCAAAACTTGCATGAATTAACCTTTCGGGGGAAAACATTTGCATGGACTAAGCTACTATATATAAAGCAGAACCTCCTATTGAGATGGCACGCATTATAAATTTGCCACAATCATATCGTTTAAAAATAAGTAAGACATGGAAAATGGCAATCTGAATTTCATCGCAGTACAATGCATGATTGTTTTGTTGCTGGAAATTTTCATTATAAAACCTACGTTTTGATAAATGGATTGAAATGTGATTATGGAGGCCTGACGATTTGTGTTGCACCGGATTGGATTGACAATATATTTTTTTATAGTTGTTGAATGTTCAGCCAATGTTTGCGATTGGATTGACAATATATTTTTTATAGTAGTTGAACGTTCATTTATAGAGATTTAATTCTAGTCTGCACGACAATTAGCTGAAGATTTAAGAATTCATTTGGACCGTGAAAAGGTCAAATGGGCTAGTTAATCAGATTTTTTCCGAAGATTTCGACGAATCCATTTTTAATCCGGAAAGAGCTCAGTTTTATCAGATGGCCCAACTCGCAGATATTGACAGCTTTACTGTCGAGGTAGGGCGCCTTGTGGCCAAATTCAATTATTCAAGGCTTGAGAATGACGTTTTCCCAAATTTTGAATATTTAGGGATTTTCGTTAGAAGACTAAACGGATTCGATTTGCTTACTTTTTTGGTGTTTAATAGTTTTAAGTAATTAGATTTCTTTCCTTATTTTTACCGAATATTCAGAACAAGTTTGCTTGAGCAGTTTCCTTGGGCTATTACTTTTCTTACATTTTTAAGATTTTCTTTACGCTGTTAGGGTTTTTATTTATACTGTGGATTCAAGGAACCCTCATTTCTTTCTCACGTGAGTTGCTATTTAAGTTTTTATGATAATAACATAAATTTAAATATGCTTGTTTCTAAAAATGGTAGAGAAATTATTGCCTTGTATCTATTACGTAAATTATACTTACTTTTTTTTTAGTTAAAATAAATTATATTATTGCCTTTTTTTTTTTTTTGGAAAGGTACATCTAACTATGGTTTATTATACTTACCTCTCATGTGTTTTGGATACTTACAACTACCTACATTCTAGTTACATGTGTGTGCAACAAATCAACCATTTTTGTCAATTTCATTAATCCACATAGATGATCAATACCGAAGTAGTAAGGTTTTTAGCTTCATACGACAAACATGCCCTTTAAATTGTTGTAAATTGTTGTAAAGATTGTGTGAAAATACAATTTATATACTCTCAACTTACGACATTTTTGTCAATTTAATTTTCTTTAATTTGGAATATAATTATCTTTAAGCACAAAAAGCACTGGACAAAAGTGTTTTACTGTAACGACCCGGATTTCTCAACCCGGTGCGTTAGTGATGAACCGAAAGTTGACCCGATAACGAACCCGAAATACGGAAGCGAAAGAAGCCAAATGACCTTAAGAGATGTACGTTATCCTTAAGGCCCCAAAATGACTCTCCGTGAAGCCACGGAACTCAAATGAGCCAAGCAAATGAAGCAAGAATGCCTAACCCGAAAAGAGATGAACTAAGGGCAAAATGGTCATTTCTCATTGAAAAGGGTGCCACCGTGCACCCCATTGGAAGGACAACAAAAAATGAACAAAATTAGACTCAAGAATCGTCTGATTCTGAGTCCGGGCAGAAAAGATATGAAATTCCAACACCCGATGCGAAAGTTATGAAGCAATGACTTAACATTTTCCAATATTTTCATAATAAACTTTGAAAACAAAAGTGCATAGAATACGAGATACATGTCATTGGCCTCCGGCCTCATCTCATACATGTTAAATACATTAAAAAGAGTGCACTTACGTACACTTTACATATACGAATCAACGAATACAAGTTTAAACAAATAGGGCTACAAAGAGGCATCTTATGCTAACACTTGCATAAAATAGAAACTTAGAAACTGTAAGCCATCCAAGGAGCAATGAAATCTTCAAATCCTGAGTCCTGTACCTGAAATATGCCCCAGTATCGTAGGGGTGAGTAACATAAAGCTACTCGTAGGAGATGAGCATGCATCGCCTTATGGTGAACCATATTAAAGGGGCTCATGCCACCTAACGTCTATGTCAAGATGAGACCCAGGGAGCATCCTAAGCTACCTAGATCATGTATATCATAATCACATTGTTCATGGAATTCAAACAATATGGAAACATGTTATACAAGGCAACAAGATATAGATTCTCAAAGTCTTCAACTTGAAATCCAAAATACGAAAACAACAAGTGTGGGTCATGCCACCTAACGTTTATGTTCAAAATGAATCTATAAGGTCATTCCTAAACTACATTTGAACATCAAAACACAAATTATGATATCGATACAATTTAACCAACAATGGAACTTCCAATACAACGCATGAAGCATGCTTTCACAAAGCTACATCTTAAGCTCAAAATAGGAAATCAAATAAGGAACAAGAAGTTATGATATCATCTAGTTATCAACTTGAAATGAAATACGAAATCAAACAAAGTGGATACTCGGACGTCACGCCGGATCAAACCGACAACATAGTTACTTTAGGGTTACTAGCCCATGGGTAACCTCCCTATGTGCGCACTAGACTATATAGAGGGACAATCCCCTGTACTAGAACCAAGTCCTAGCCGTAACCAAACAACGACATCCCCAAGTTTCCAAAATCAACAAATTATGTAACAACGTATATATATCAACATGTATATACAAGATATCAACTATTTACCAAGCATAATCCAAATTTTGGAAACTTATATAATACATACTCAAAATTCACAACTACTATGGCATGTAAGATGTCAAATACAAAGTGTGCAAATCCTTACACATAGTAACAATATATTCAATAAGGAAAAACATATTCTCATGAATATAAAAGTAACAACTATGTTATCCAATATTCAAAAGTAATAAAGTGAACATACATCAAATCCAAATCCATGATTTAAATATAGAAACAACTTCCAAAATGCAATTAAATCCATGAAGTAATAAAGTAGAATTTAATTAAACATAAATAGTTAAATTCTCTAAATTCTAAGTTAATCCAAATAATCTCAATTTAATATATATTGAAAGATATGTCATTGTCATCATATATATAACATCAAATGACAAGTTAAGTGATTAAAACACTTAAAACAAAATTAATCAAGCTAATTAATTAATTTCCTCTAAATTTTTAAACAATTCCAAATGCCCTCAATTTAATCTATATTAGAGAACATGCTAAGGCCTATTTAAATACCACATTACAACTTGATTTAATGCTTGATACAACCATGTGAATTAAACTTTCACTAAAGATAAATATTAAATAAAAGTTGTAATTCTTAATCAAATGATCCAAATTTAATATATGTTAACCAACATATCTAAGCATAATTTCCTAGCATGTTACAATTCAAATCAAAGTTATACATTATTATAAATTTTAAATCTTATACAAAGAAATAAAAATTACTAACTTTCTAGATTTGATACAAGGCATACATATATGTTGTATAATCATGGCAAACACACAATACAATACACAAATAATCCTAAAACATTCCCTACCTCAATTGGAATGAAAATCCCAATTACCACCGAAATGAAATTGCCCCAAATTTTCGGTCCGCAAAACAAATTTTTCAGCTTGCTACCTTCAACTTGTAAAATTCATAAAAAATTCAATTCTAACCCAAAATGAATGAATCCAAAGCCCAATGAAAGCTTAAACACTTTAATTTGATAATATCAATTTAGTTTAACAAAATAGTTTCCCAATTGAAACAGTTTTGCCCCACAATTTTGGAA